TAAAAAAATAATTTTTGCCCAAAGTATTTGGGCAATTTCGGCTACTAATAGAAGCAGTTTCAACCAGAAACCTTAAACCCTACCCAGTTTGAAATCCTATCAGGAAACCGTTGTTTAACAGATATGGTGCTTGAATCTGATTTATAATGTCTCAACTGAAGGTAGACCAGGTCTGGTAATATATTATGAATGATTTTTGTCAAAGAGACCTCTGAGAATTGTAAAAAATCAAAAAAAGCATAAATGGGGTGTGATCTGAGAAAATCAGTATCAATACAAATACAAGAAATGAAACTAGAACACACCTGTAGAAGCTTCATGATCTGGCTTAAGCCTCTTCTTTGGATTATCCTTTTCATCAATATTACTTTTTTTAGCAGAAGTAGGAGGAAAAGAAGTATGAGTTATGTTTTCTCTTTCACCATCTTTTTTTCCAGATTTCTGTAATAAAATATAAGAAGTTATGAGTAAGATCCTTCATCATAAGGAAGGTACATAGCCAATTCCTTCTCCAGAATCAGCAGACCTTAATCAAAGAACCTCATAGAAAGTATGCACATCTTAGCGGATGTGAAACATTCTGGCTAGACATTTTCTCCCCATAGCCGCAGAATACAGGGTATAGCATACTCACTATGCTCGTTAGTATTCTACATTACTGAGAACATGTAAAATACTAACCAATTTACGTTTTAGATCCAACACTTTCTGACCCTTTCTTGTCTTTGGTCCTAAATATTTTATCAACACTTCCAGTTCAATAGCCAGAGCACTATGCAATTTCCTCTTTGTTTCATTAGGGTATTTCTTAAAGTAAAAAAAGTCCCATGTATCCACTTTCCACTCTTCATACGATCTTTTCCAGTAATCAATATGTTGAAGTTTACTCAAGATTTCTTCTGACAACATCGTTAAAAAAGTAACAGGATGCAAGGTATAGCAATGGGGAACAATAATATGTCCAAGGTATATAGAAAGCTTAAATACAATATTAAAAAAATTGTTATTAATAAAAGACATTTTTTTCAAAACATGTTCACGTTTGCTTAAAAATCAATTGTTTTTCCTTTGTATATATAACTAGTGATCTTAATTCATGAATAATATGAACATCTTTCCTAAATAGTAAACATGTCATGTGTTGATCTACCTAGCCAATCAAATTTTCCAAAAACAAGCGTCGAAATTCGTTATATGGGACATTGGGGTGTTACATATCAGCATAAACACAAACATAGTTGAGCACATATATAAAAAATCATATATGCGGATTTT